AATCGTCATAGCTTCAATGTTTTTAAACATATACGCAAGTAAATCATAATTTTAATGTTTTCAAAAATATTTAATTCTTGCGATAGCTGCAAGGGTATATGAACTTCGGCTTGCCGAAGTTTGCTTTCTTTCTTGTTTTTAAATGGCATTAAACAATAAAGCTAACCAACAGGCCCATGAGCTTAAAACATTTTGTTTTTAAGATTATTTAACTTGATCTTTAAGACAACATAATCTCTGAATAGAAAATATTTGGTTTAATGTTAAACACTTCATAAATGCCTGAATACTATAATGTCTGTCTATCACATTTCTCAGAAAACAGCTAAAACGACACATCTGTCCGGGGCCAACAACTTTTTGCACTTACTGTTGACTGTTGCGAGTAAATTTTCGTTTGTCGGACACGTGCAAAAGCAGAAAAACTTTTTACTGTACACACATTAATTTCCATATAAGCTTTATTTCCATCTGGCCTTTTCATCTCCGCAACTGTAAATATATTTGCTGCAGGAACTTCGGTTTTATTTGGTGAACATACAAAAAAGATATGCATGACAATTAATCAGGTGTTGTATAATGCAATAAATTTGTTTAGCAGTTGCATTTAAACTGAAGTGTTATTTCGTACTTCATTATGTGTATTTTTAGCTGATTTTAAGTATTTTAAAAATATTAAGTTATCAATTGAAGTTAAAAACTAATTTTTTTTTTTGCTATACGTTTAAACTAACATTAGGTATTTGCATACATTGAATGCGAATTTTTTTACAGTTAACAAACAAAAAATCATATAGACAGAATGCGATTTTTTTTACAGCTAACAAACAAAAAATCATATAGACAGATGAAATGTTTTTTATTTTATTTATAGATTTAAAATGAACGCAACTTATTTTTAATGGATGGTGGAGATCTAATAAACTTAAGTTTACAAAAACGCATCGGTAAAAATCTGACTAAGATTGTCGAAAAAATTCGGCTTGACCTTAGCCATTTGTTGTTTTCTGTGTAGCTGTGACGTGTGTGTTCTTTTGCTTTCATTGTTTTGTTTTTCGGCTTGGTGTGGTTCGTTTTGTGTTTTGTATTTTGGTTCTTCCAACGCGCCCATCAACAACAACAGGCACAGATGCAAATACAAACAAAAGAATTCATTATTTTACTGTTGTGCATTTAAATTTGATACAATACACGCCATTTCTACACACCTACGAGCACACACAAACACATTCGCACTTTCATTTTGGACATGGCCTCTTGCACCGTACTTTCGTGCCTTTTTTTGAGCCGCTCCCGGTTTGTTTTGTTTTTTTTTAGTTTTGCATAAATTTCGGCCCGTTCGTTCTGTTTGCTTTGACCTGGTTTTCCGCCAGGGCTTTTCCTCACCAGCTTTTCCCTGTGTTTGCCTTCCCGTCTCCTTGCGCTCATCGCCGCTTTGGTGCGAGCATTTTTCGGTTCTCATTAAAATAGGTAAACAAAATCGCATAAAATTTCCTGATAGACAACAGATAAGAGTTAAAACTTTGCGCAAACTCCGAGCGGGACTTTGGGGGCCAGTTTGGTTAGGCAAATGAAGTGTAATTCCCGATGAGAGCGGAGCCCGCAAAACGCTTTCACCGAGCTTATTGGGAGTTAACTGCTCGAGTGCTACAATTACAGGTTAACTTTGGACTCGATAAGGGCTAAGTGCCTGCCATTACGTCAGCTCTTGTTTATTATTAAAGTTAGTAACTCTTTCGGCTTAAATTAAGCTTTGCAATGTAATTTATTGAACTTTTGGGCAGCCAAATCAAAAGGGAACTCTTGAAACCAAAGTTTGTAACTTTAGTAGGTTAAATTCTTAGAAGCCTAACGTATCACCAAATATTTAGCTACTCCGCATTTACCACATTTATTTAGTTTAAAAAATCAGAAATTTTGGCTTGTTATTTGAAATATAAATAAACCAATTGAAAATGACAAGACAAAAATAAAACATTTATTGTTATCAATTCTGGCCAAACGAAAAGAAATGTATCTTTACAATTTAAGTATTGTCAAGGCAAGTAAAAATGTACTTCTTGAGTTCTTAATTTTATAGTTTCAACAAGTTTAGCTTAAGTTAGAAGCAGCTGAAATTCGTCAAGGTAATTTACAAAATATTTTAATATATTTTTGTTTTTATATTTATTGCCAGCAATAAAATAATATTTTATAATTAAATATTCGCACTTAACCACATTAAGTTTGACAGCGATGTGGGTCATCAACACGAACAATTTTTGACGGACTATATTGCCTTTCGGAATTAGTTTCATCAGCTGCAATTCAAAAGTTATTCGTAGGGTAAAATTTATAAGTTTTGCTTTCGGTGCAAATGATTCTCTATCGTTTTAGAAGCCTGTACATAAACTCAGATAAAATTCCCTGAATTCAACGAATTGGAATTAGTTACTGTAACTTGATGCCGATGTCAGTCACATTCCTCTACAATCCGTCTATGTAAGCCCGGATTTTATGGGAAGCCTAGAAATTGAGGCCAGACTATACAACGCCCTTTCTTCGACGTCTAACTCACATCTCTTCACTTTCGAGACCTTAAAGCTTTCACTTGGGAATCTTAAATCAGCCTTACGACCATAAAACGTCCATACTTCTTTCTGATTCTATTCCGTTGCCATTGGCACTGCAAGCTTACTAGGTCAACACAAATCAGCATAAGCCACACAACTCCACATCGGACAATAACATTTTTATGTGTTAAGCTTTATGACAAAAGGCCAACACGGAACAAGGAGCGAATGCACAGGGCAGCACTATGAGTGCGAGAGTACGTGAAAGTTGCTGCAAGTTGGCATAGAAAGTTTACCGATTTGTTTTGGCCGTAATAAATTCGGACAGCTGTAAGCAAGCAACAAATGGGGAATAAGCAAAACAAACGGACTCGGCCACTGCGATAGTTCAGCGGAAAAGTCAAGGACCAAGGGAATCGCCATTGGCTGAACGGTTTTCCCTTCTTTTTCTTTTTTTTTTTTTTTTTTGCTACATAGCAGCGAAGGATCAATCTTTTTCCGCAGCTGCTCCACATGTTCCTCTTGTTGCGAGTGGCACTGTCAAAAATGTTGAGCTTGTGTAAACAAGCAAACAGCCAAGTGGGCGTCGAGATGTTCTGCTTAGCTATCTGCCAGCCATCTACATTTAACCCATTATTTACCACTGAACTGGAAAACAACCACTGACTTTAGTAACTTTTTCAGTTGGCATTTAGCAACTTACAAAAAAATACAAACTTAATTATAAAGTCAAGCATTTGGAACGAAATATAATTTTGTTTAGATGTATAATTCATATAATTAAAGTTAAAGCAAAGATTTTAAGCTGCTAAACATTTCCAACAAAATCCTGAATATTTTGTCTAAGCGATTGTAACTGAATGTTTAATGCAGAGTTTTTTGGTCTAAAATACGTGACATTTCTGTTAACTATTATTTCGAGCTATTTAAATTTCCTTTTTAATGTTATGTTTCCTAGTATTCTTTTATAGTGATTATTATTTCTGTTAACTATATATTGAGATCAGTCATAAAGACGTGTATATTATTTTTAAATCACCAGACATAAAGTCATTGCAGACGTTTTTTCAAGAAATTGTAAAACAGAATATAAAATAAACAGATTACTGTTTCAGAAATGCAAACATATCATTTTACACTTGACGGTGTGTCTTTAGTGGGTTAATTCCATCCCATATCAACTCAGTCAACCGTTTTGTGCGTGTTTCTCTGGCTGCACTTGTTTTGTTTTTCTTGCCTTGTTTTTATTTCGTTAATTTTGTTGTTGCGGCATCTGTTGCCTGGCTTCTGTTTTGGCTGTATTTGTGTTTGCCCCAGCCCTTGCCAAGTAAAATAATTTTAAATGTAATTCTCGGATGCGCCTACCACTCGGATATGCATCGCTTCGAAGGTCCTGGCCCACTTCAGTCTGGAGTGTTACTTTTGGCAAATGTCGGAGTGCCTCTACACACACTTCAAGTCCACGCTGCCTTGCCTGTTGGGTTGATTTTTTAAACCCCCCACCTCCTCCGTCCCCATCGTTAACCCCTGAACTCATCCCCGGCTATGAGTGCACATCTCCTGTCGGCAGGACATGCATAAATATTATAAAACGTGCTGCTGCCGCAGATCAGATAGGTAAGTGCAGATTCCGACTGTCTGGCGTTCCGGCCAAATGCTCACCACGCCCAGCTCTGGCAAATAAGCCCACTTGCTGATTGTCTGTCGGCCGGGCTTTCTGTCTTCGGGCCTATCTGTGTGGTTGAATTAGGGCCCGGATTTTTGGCGTACTCTTTGGCTTGTTGTAAGCAGCTTTTATGCCTGGTCTAACTGGCTTGAACCACTCTGTTTCGGAGTCAGGCCATAAATTTTGGTCAAATGCTGGTAGAAATCTGGCCATTCCTTTATCATTTTTCTTGTTCTTCTTTTTTTTTTTTGATTCAACTGCAAGAAATTTCCCTTTGTTCAAGCAAATTTTATTAAAATGAAATCTGTCCATACATTTCGGCTTGCCCCACTTTTCCCTCACAAATTAAAATTTGTACTCGTCTTCAAGCTCCATCTAACATTATCCAGCAGAGAGAATTTTGCATTGTCTAACTAGTCTTGCAAATATCCTGATAATCCTTATTTCTATACATATATGGAAAAATTATTCCTAACAGCATTTTAAAAATGCATTTCAGAAGAAGAATAATGCAATCCCCATTGCTTGTGGATTACCGATTTTACCAGCTTAAGGCAATTAATTGCCAGTTAAATGCAATTAAGTGCAGCACGCAGAAAGATTCCATGAATAAATTTACGCCCGCAACAGCCATTTTAATCGACTACAAGGCGATAAACATTAAAGCACGCCAAGATGGTCGTGTCCGTGTTTTATTAATTAAATTCGCTTCCCGTTCGCTTAAGCCGGGATTTGTCATATGCAGGGCCAAATACTTAATTAACTTGCAGTTCCATACGCACTTTTTTTGGAGGACGTGCCGTGCCATTTGCATTTGCATTTGCCTTCGCAGTTGTTGTCGTAGTTGTGGTTGTGCTTGTAGGTGTAAGGTGGAAGGTAGAGCGCTCCGTGCGGTAATCGCGATAAGTGCAACAGCAAATGGGAAGGAAATCTGGAGCGGTGGCAAAGTCCACAAACAATGTGTAAGAACACGCGCGAGTTGGGGGATTTACAATTTTAATAAAGTCATATACACGCACACCCGATGGCCAAGATGCCAGTATACTTCTTTATATATATATATATTTATATATATATATATATATTTGTATGTACGGCTCAGTCTGACTTATCCGGCAAAAGAACTGACTGGGCGGCCGAAATACACCATCAATTTTTAATATCTATTTAACATTTCAATCAGCGGAATCGCTGCTTTTGCCGCTCGATTCGTATGCAAAATTTAATTAATATTTAATTTTTCATTTATTGTATTTCTGTGTTTTGCCTGCAATTTTCATGACGCAGCGCGGCCCGCTAATAAAATTAAACGATCCACTCACACAGATACTCCCGCACAAACACACACACACACACTCAGTTTCACACAAGTACACTCGAGCGAATCAGTTGTGCTGCTTTTTTTTGTTGTTGTTGTTGTTGTTTTGTGGGTACCACGCGCCGCGTTTTGCTCCTTCAGCGGATTTTCGCGTATCCTTGAGCAGAAGACCGTAGCGCCACGTTCCGACACGAATACGAAACTGAGCCACGGCGTTGGCAAAAACGCAGCCGAGCACCAAAATGTCCTTTGGCTCGGTCGATTCCATCTCGGGGACTTTTGCGCTCGTCGCGAAGTCCTTCGCAGTCGAAGGACCTGCCTCGTTTCCACTCAAGCCCCGAATGAAAGTAAAAATGGCACGAGCTCTGCTGAAAGAGAGTTTTCGGCAGTTTGAGTTTGTTTTGGTTTAAATTGCATTTAAGTAATAGCAGAAGTGGGCCTATCCCAAGCTCTTTTGCAGTTACGATGCTTCAATTTTGTAGGTTTATAATTTATGTTTTTCTTTTAATTTTAAATACGTGTTGAAAATTTTTTACGGTGTTTTACATCATCAAAATAATGTATTGAAATAACCTTATGAAAAGAGCATATACTAAACCTTTTTAGAAAGTCCTATTTGTATAGCACTTTGCTATTAAAATTGCAGCTGCTTACCTAAAAATATAACGATATACTTTTGATTGTTAGCAATTACTTTGTTACATAAACATTCGAATGAGCATCGAAAATGAGCAGCAGTAAATTTTCTTGACGTTTTTGATAAGCTTCTTATAGTTAAAATAATACCAGTTAAGACTCTTATTGACTTAAATATTTTCTACCTCTAACTCAGCTTCGGGTTGAGATAAAGAATCGCAATGCAAGAGAAAACTACCCGCCATTTGAAAGTTCCCATTTTTCTCTTTGCAAACCAGCGCCTGCGCTTTCATCGACTTCCAGTCAGCAATTCAAGGCATTATAAGAGTTTTTTCCTTTCAGGGACTTTTTCGCTTTATTCAGCCTTGTCGAATGTTAAGATTTCATTTTATAATACAAAATTATCTTGCCTTAAAAATGGAGATCCGGTTTGGGCACCTTTAAACAAATTAAAACGTTTATTTTTTAAAGCTATAAAATATTAGTGTTGCAATCATTACCCAATTTTAGAGATTTTGTTCCAGATATTACATCTTCATGATCTTCCAAATCTGTAAGATTAAAAACTTGTGAAATACCAAGAAAGTAAAGTAAAGAAAACAAGAAAGAAAGCAAACTTCGGCAAGCCGAAGTTCATATACCCTTGCAGCTATCGCAAGAATTAAATATTTTTGAAAACATTAAAATTATGATTTACTTGCGTATATGTTTAAAAACATTGAAGCTATGACTATTTGCAGCTTAATTATTTGATTGTTCTTTTATATATTTTTATTATTTGTATGGGAGCTATATGATATAGTCGTCCGATTTTGATGAAATTTAAACCGTAAATCGAAAATATTTAACCATTACTAAATGTCGAAGAACTAAACAAAAAATTAAAAAACAGAAAAGTTATAATTTTTTTTCATTTATTTTTCCGATTGTTCCTATGGGAGCTATCTGCTATAGTCGTCCGATTTTGATGAAATTTTTACCATAATTCTGAAATATTTAACCATTGCTTTATGTCGAAGAACAAAACAAAAAATTAAAAAACAGCAAAGTTATAATTTTTTTTCAATTATTTTTCCGATTGTTCCTATGGGGGCTATATGCTATAGTCGTCCGATTTTGATGAAATTTAAACCATAATTCTGAAATATATAACCATTGATATATGTGGAAGAACTAAACAAAAAATTAAAAAACAGAAAAGTTATAATTTTTTTTCATTTATTTCTCCGATTGTTCCTATGGGAGCTATATGCTATAGTCGTCCGATCCGGCTCGTTCCGACTTATATACTACCTGCAATAGAAAGACAACTTTTGGGAAAGTTTCATGCAGATAGCTTTAAAACTGAGAGACTAGTTTGCATATAAACGGACGGACAGACGGACAGACGGACAGACGGACAGACGGACGGACAGACGGACAGACGGACATGGCTAGATCGACTCGCCTAGTGATGCTGATCAAGAATATATATACTTTATAGGGTCGGAGATGTCTCCTTCACTGCGTTGCAAACTTCTGACTGAAATTATAATACCCTCTGCAAGGGTATAAAAAGATTTCTAGAAGGATTTCAAATAATTGATATGATATTTTTTTAAACTAAATATATTTTTTACATAAAAATAAGTGAAAAATGATGAAACAGATTTTAAGGAATCCATGTTTATCATTCTATGAATTTTTGAATGAAAAAAAAACTAATGAATATTTTAAGATTATTATTATAAATTGATTTTTTCCAAATAAAAGCTTACACCCTGCTGGAATATTTTCACATATTTACATTTTCGTACCATCTTTTTTGTTGTAGAGATTAAACAAATTAAAATAATATTTTGTATTCAATGCGTTAGACTTATGTTAGGAACGAGATAATTAATACTATGTTAGTTTCGGTGGAATAGCAAATACAAACATTACGATTAAGTGATTAATTATTCTCATTACTTTATCATTTGTTTGTTTACCAGATAAAACGCCTTACCCTATCATGTGTATTTGGCAACGGGGGACGAATCACTCCAGTTCCTGTGGGTCTCTTCCTGTTGGAAGTGGGATTGGATGAGGAAGTGGCGGTCCTGGTACCCTTGATGTTGGTCAGGGTCTTCGGAGGTGACTTTGCTGCTGGCTTTTCGGGCATTTTCACGTAGTTGTGCAGATACTTTTAGAGACTTTTGTCGAAACAATTTTTTCAAGGTCCAAAAAAATTGTTTTTTACTCTACATGAATTTAATGTGGTCGTCTACTAGATGCTAAGAAAGTCGAATCAAATTCACACGACGACTTTACTGTCTGACTTTGAGTCTGACTTTTAGTCACAGGCCACAGGGCAGTCCAGTCATTCGTCAGTCGTCACGGCAACTTAAGTGAAGGTTCATAAGTATATTTATAGCAGTGGTCATAATAATAGTAGCGGATAAATGATAAATATTCTCACGAATAAAATAAGTAATATTAATTACCTCAAAGCAATATAAAATTGATTAATTAAACACACGTCTATACTAATTTTACTATTTTATAAATTGTGATAATCCAATTAAATAACCATTAGTACCCTTGTAAATATTCTTAAACACATTCAGCTGAACTGGTTTATATTGTGTTGATGCTTAAGAACAATGCTTAATGTCTATTACTTTGAATGCAGCTGTATGTCGGTGGCATTCATCATAAATGTCATCGCCTGAAATTACGCATAAAGCATAAAGCCATATAAATGAGTCTACTTTAAGGCGCACTATATATTTATGTACTTGCCGGGAAAATTGTCGCACTTGCATGAAATATGTCCGTGTCCATAGATGGCTGTAGCTGTAGATGTAGCTGTACAATGTACATACATCCAAGTGTATATTTTTTATAAATTAATTTGCATAAATTATGGCATATGAGGGAATCCAAGTTGACGCTAGGCCAAGCGTTTGCTATTTATCAAGGCGGCGCAGCGCAGCGCAGCGCAAATTCCTCTAAATGTCTGGCTCAGAGCAACAATCACTCACTCATTCATTCCATCATTCGGCGCCCCATTCATTCACTTCATTCCGCCACTCGCAATTTGCATTTTTCGCACGGGCATTGTCCGCCCAGTAAACGGTACCCTTATAGCAACCCCCTGGGGCGCAAGTTGGGCGATTTTGGGGTGGCGCGGCAACAATGTTGATTGTCTGCTAAAGAGCATAAAGTCGTAATGGAGTGAAGCAGATAAACATAAAAATAGCATAGAATTGTGGGCACACAAAGGCGCAGGCGAGTCAAGAAATGCTAAAGGAAGTGGAAAAGCCAAGCTTGTCGAATGGAAAATGCACGCGTACGCGCAAATGTTATGGCCAATCACTTTATTTCACTTGTTTTCAATTACCCTCGGCGCTTTACGTTTTCTTCTTTTTTCCATCCGTCCCAGATTTCGAGTGGTGAAATCACGTAGAGGTCATGCTAATCAGTGCGACAGCTGCCTAACGGATCCGACTTCATCTACAAAAAGAAGGCAGCTTACACTGTAAAAAGTAGTTGACAATTTTAGCTCCAAGCTTAACTCCTAATAAATAAAATTTATCAATTTAGTTTGGCTTTTTTTTCCTTCTTATTACAGATTCTGAATTTCGGGGAGTTTAATCCAAATTTTTTAAATATATAAATATTCTGTGTTTCAAAATAATTGTTGGTTTTTAAATACATTTTATATTTAACTAATTTGTTACCTAAGTTAATAACCCAGAATCGGCTTATGATTTTTTAAACGGAAAAACTTGGAATAACTTTTTTACATATTTATATATATATATTTATATATATTTTTGTAGTAACTAGTATAACCCAAGTTGTTGAAATGTTTTTTCTCTTGAAGAATAATCCTTATACTATAATTTGGGGAGAGGGTTTTCCGCGGTGTACCACTAAACCTCTTGCCATCCCCTGTATTCCCACCGAATAACCACAAAAACCATCGAATAATTGAGTCATCAAATGTTTGGCGCACCCTTTTACTTTTGGTTTCCTCTTGACGCGGCTTTGACAATTAACCGAACTATAAAAAGTTTAAGTTTGAACACCTGGCTGGTAGAAAAACGTTTCCCCAAAATACCAAAATACCCACCACACACACCCAACCAACCAAGCCACCCACACAGACAAAAACACACGCATACATATAAGCCAATTAGCATTTATGTGCGTCGCTGGCTGGCTGAACAAAATGCGTTACATTTTCATCAAACGCACGACACTTTGTTTTAATTTGAGCAACCGCACGCACACAGACGGAGTATCCCCATACGCACACACACACACACACTCAGTTACACACCCACGCATACAATGGCAGGCTCTGGTTTTGGTCTCGTCACGGTTTACAGATTTTCGTTCCCCAAAGGTCCTTGCACGGGATATTACATTGTTTTGGGCAATTCGCTTTTACTGTGATTAATTTAAATGCACCCCATCCGCCCAATCCGCTGGCATTTTTTTTATTCTCCGTCACGTGTTTGGGATTCATAAATATCCTTGAAGCTCCCGCGCCGCAATTTTAAATCGAAGTGCTCATAGAGAGAAGCGCAAGGGCTTGGGCAATGGGCACAATTAGGCCCCGATGGCAGACAACGCCTAAAGTTGCCGTGCTAATGTGGAATACCCTTGACTCGGCTCCTGGGATTAGCTGTAAGGAAGCGGAATCATTGTGCGTCTGGATTTTATATGGGAATCGTAATTATATATGAATTTTATGGGCGAGGATATGGGGAAAAGAGAAACGACACACCAAACATTCATAAACTATGATTGTAATGAGGCATATACAAACTAAGTTTTCCGCTTTACATCTTAATTATGGGTTGGAAAATATCCTTTTTTTGAACCCAGACACTGTGAGCCCCAATTTTTTTATAATTAAGCATGGAGCTTTAGATATGCTTGTTGCAGATTTAAAAACTTAAAATATAACTACCTCTCACTCAAATTTAAAATTTACTTTTAGTTTTAGGCAACCAGTTGTAACAAATAAACAACTTTAACATTTAAAAATCAATCATGTTTGCAAGAGAACCAGCCAAATTTAGCTCGACAACATTATTAATATATTCACTTTTAAATCCAATTTTATTAATTACCGCAATTGTAAACATTTTCAATTAATTGGTATCAATGCCCAATGATATGTCTATTTGCATAATTAAGTTTACTTCCACAAATGTTGTTCAATTATTAATCTAAACACATTTAATTAAAATAGCAGCCCAACAAGTTTATTTTAATTTAATTTAATTTATTAATGGGGACTGGCAGGTACGTTTCAACCCAAAATTGGGTAATGGTCAAAGAAATGTCTGTTAAGTTTTTTAAATATAAACTAATTTCTTAAGAGTATTTTGAAATAATTCAAAAAAAATCATAATCAACAATTTTATTCATTCAGCGAGCACTTCGGTGGGTTCTTATAAGGAATTTTATTCCCTACAGTAGATATTAATGCAAAACAAATAAAATTAATATCCAAAAAATTTTAAATTAACTCCCACCTGTCCGACAACTTAGCTCATCCGAAAGTAAAAGCATTGGTTGCTTTGTACGAAAACCAAACTACATTTGGACCTGTTCATTCAATCTGATTTCTCACCTCAGGGGTAAATCAATTTAGTTTTTGGCTGCTGGAAATCCCGGCTAGTGGGGTACTTGAACATGTGGACCAGTGCAGCATAGCATTACCTATCTGTTCCAGCGTGGGCGAGTAGGTTTTGGGTATCGAGTGTGCGTGCAGCAACATATATGATCATGCATCATAATCCAAAACCCAGGACACACACGCACACCCTCGCAAACGGACACTTACACACAGATACACATCAGTTGCTTTGTAATTAATTACTTCACACATTGACGCCGGCCAGCTTCGGGTGCGGGTATTCCCAACAACGACCACCGACCAACACAAACGTAAACTTTACTCTCTGATTCCGATGGTGACAATACACCCAGGAAAAATAGTGCTGTAGACCATATTCTTAACTACTGAATTGTACAACCCAAAGTAATTGATCATTTTTCCACAAAAACATTTTATTTATTAATCAAGATCAATAATTGTTTAAGAGTCTGAGTATTTATAAAGATTCATGGGTCTACATATTTGATATAAATTTATGTTTTAAGCTTAAGATTAGACTATTTTCTTTTAACTATTGTTGAAGATATAGAATCTGGATACAGTTTCAGACGATGAAAGAAGTTTACTATACTACGGTTATTAAATAATAAAGTATTTCCGAAAGTGCTGTTTTCTTAAAACAACATATTTAGTTACTACGTTTCTATAGTCCTTTTTACTCCTGAATATAATACTCTTTAGAATAACAGTACACTTATTTCCACACAATTTCTTATATTAAAGGCTATTGACTCAAAATTATTACTATATGGCATTTCTTTAATGAAGATGTAGAAGCTTGCTTAAACAAAAAAGTATTTCGGAAGAACTTAATTCGGACATGCCTATTATCATTTTTAATCAGTCAATTATAATTTTTAAAACGTTAAAAATTATATTACACTTTTTACCATACCAGTTGCTTAGACCAAAAGCTATTCTCTATTGATATAAGGAATTTCATTAATGAACCATAAAGAAGATGCATAGTTCGGAAAGTGTCGTCGTGTTTCTCATTTTGTATCAGTCAGTTTTTATTTTTAAAACGTGATATCACCACTTGCTAAAAATAATATTACGCTTATTTCCCAGCCAGCGTTTACCCTGCCAGTTCCTTGGTTTAAAATGATCTTCTTTTTTTTTGAGTGTTTGCTGCTGCTTTTGTGGCTGTTGCCACTCATGCCAACTAATATTGTTACCAGCCCTTGGATAGTTAGCTGCATGTTTGGTTAGCTGCTTGTGTTGCTCCTCTCCGTTGTTCATATCGTAAATTATGTGCCATTTATGCGGCATTGGCTTGAAATGGAAATTTGTCCCATTTGTTGCTCGGCGAGACACTTGAGTATTCATATGGGAGCCCCCGGCCTGTTGTTTGGCATTGATTTATGCGAACGAGTAATTTTGGCTAAATATTAAATGAAACGTTAAGCTCAAAACGCTCTGCGCTGATGCTGATGCTGATGCTAATGCTGATCCCTGGGAAGATGCCTTTTGGCAAGGGTCAACTTTAATTTGACTTATAATTGGGGATGGTCCTCCCAGAGCCCTGACTTCCACTCGCTTCCACTCGGCGAATAATGATGCCCTCAATTAAGCCAACAAAAGTTTGGCCCCCTGCAATTATTCGCGCAG